TGTTTCGATCAGCTGTTTTCCCTAATTTTGGTTGTTGTGTAATTTGACATGTCATACACAAATGATTATAACATCCAAAGCATTTTAAATAACTGTTTTAAATAAAGACTAGCTGATAATTAATTGAACAAAGAAGGCATGCACATTCTTAGAACAGGATAGCAGTGTTGTTAACAAACAAAAAAGTAAAATGTTGCGTGCTGATTTAGGAGAGTGTAATTTTGTGCAAAGGGACAAAGAGGTATGATAGTTATTTCCAGGAGTTAAGGGGAATGTCCCGTGAACAGTGTCAACATTGCCCCAAGTGGTGAGTGGGATGCAATTTTGGGACCAGTGCGAAATGTATTGTCACAGAAGAGACATGAACGCCCGAGAAATTAGATGCGTGGGTTCATGTGGGGGTTGACAAGCATGGCTAACATGACGGACGTATGAAGAAGAAGTATGAACTACGTGCCAGTGTGATCTCATGTAAGCCTGAGCCACACATATGAGTGATTCTCGGGTAGTCTAAGAACGCCCACATGAGCGTGATTCTCGTGTAGTCTAAGAACGCCGACATGAGCCTGATCTCATGTAGTTGAGAACGCCGACACGAGCCTGCCTCTCGTGTAATACCTGCCGCCCACATGGGTCTGGCACGGATATATAGGGGCTGCGTATTCAGTCAGAGAGTCAGAGTCTTTAGAGTCAGTATCTCTCGAGTCCGATCGTGAGTTTTCGAGTGAGAGTCATACAGAGTACCGTGTACCCCTCAGAGAGTGAAATCTGAGTGAGTCTCGGTCACGGTACGGATCTAAGGTAGAGTCCAGGTGGGGAATAGGCCAAGAGGACTAGACGCTCCAATAGTAACTGTTCGGGGTTACGATACAAGGGAGGCGTAGGATCTTGATGGCAGCAGAGCAGTGGGGATGCCGACGAGAGCTGTGTGCTAGAAGGGACTTGTGCTAGAAGTCCTGTCGGTCATCTGAGTCCTTTGACAGCTATTGTGCTGTGGGCACAGCCAGGAGAACGAGCAAGTGAAGTCTGTTTCCAGTCCTCTGAGGTGTCTCCTGAAGTATAATCAAGGTCCATTGATAGGAGAATTGTTCCTAGTCTTCTGTACAGCGAGCCCACAGTTGCGGGATGATGTAGATAGACCTTATGAGCTGTAGTTGCCAGGGCGAGGTCGCTGCAAGTGAGAGAGAGTGAGAGTAGTGACTATGTTTGAATGCCAATTAGGATCAGTGTCTACGTCTCTGAGCATGCAGTATTTTCAATGGCATGGCTTGTGAATACCCTCTTGTGTGGTACCAATAAACGTGATGTATAGCGGAGCTGACAGCGTCGTATCTTAACTCAGTGTATCAAGTGTAAATCTGTACCTATGGAGATCAGCTCGTGTGCTGATTATTGTGCACCTTAGATAGCACACAAAAGTTGGGAGCCAATCCATCAGACTCAGGACCTCTGAACCACACAACAGTTGGGGGCCAGCCTTTACAGAACGAGGGACACATCGAAAACACAACATTAGGAGGCCAGTCAATTGAAAACAAGAAACCTCTACGCCAACAGTTTGGGGCGCCAAGACTTCAGTGCATAACAGCTCCGGTCAAACACAACAGTCTGGAGCCAGCGACACGACAGAACGATTGTGTCATTGATTCAGCGGCAAACTGTCATTGTAAACCTATTTGTTATCGTCGTCGAACACAAAATAGTCAAGTCACCAGCCACAAAGAACCGGAACTGAATCCGTGTTACCCAGAAGCTGAACCAGAAATGGGAGCCGTAGTTTAGACTGGGTGATTTGTCGAAACTGCGATTTGTGTGTGTCATCTCTCAACTGCCATCTTATCGTCCGATATTAACAGGTGTGTAATTGTAGAATCTATAATGTTTTATTGCAATATTTACATTGCAATGACCAGGTTATATGTTTGGTACGTCTGAGATGTCATCTGCGTGGTGTGCGTGTTAAGTGGGAGGTTGGGAGAAGCGCTTCTTATTAAGTAACATTTTGTATGATACATTTTTTAGGAGCTGTCTTTTAGTTATCTTTGCCTATTATTTCATAGACCGGAATACCTAGATATCTGCGTCAGGTGGCGTTAATAGTCCTATACGTACGGTTTTTTTTTTTATCGTATGTGATAATCCTTTGTGCTTTTAGTCCGTTTCCTAAGTGTACTGTCATACAAAGCTTGTTTTTTTTTTTTTTTTGGGTCGTCTTGTTCTCGTAAAAGATTATACGGTTTTTGTAGCGTCATGTAGTGTCCTTTATTTGTTTCCATCCCATTGGCATCATTAACAGTCAAAATGTCCTCTGCTGAGTTTGTCAGCATAGCTAAAGAGTTAGCACTCAAATCTGAAGAGATTGTAAGCTTTGCAGAAGCTAGAATGAAAGAGGTAGAAGAAAAAGAAAAAAAAAAAACTACTAGAGAGGCGGAAAAAGAAAATGCTGCTAGAGATAAGAGAGCTACAGAAAGAATTCATTAAAACAAGATGGCTGAGTTAGCCATTTCTTATAAAGAGAAAAGAATTAGCGAAGTTAGAGGCTAAATAAAGAAAATGGCTCGAACCACTCAAGTGAAAATGTGGGAAAGTATAAACCCAAATTACCCTTCTTAAAACCAGAGCATGAATTACATTCTTTGTGTGTGTTTTGTGTGTGTGTGTGTGTGTGAAAGATTTGAGGAAGCTCATTGATGTGCAGATATTCCTAAATCACAATGGGTCTCACGCCTGCGTGATTTGTTATCAGGAAAGGCGTTGGTTAAGTTTAGCATCCTGTGTAACAGAAGAAAGAAGTTCTTTTGATACAGTGCGTCAGAAGTTGCTAGCTTCCAAGAAACTAACTTAGGAATGTTATATGCAACGCTTTCATGAATCCTTACCAGAGAGTGACACATCCTTTTGCTGAATTCATCGCTAACATTAAAACACTCTTTTTCAGGTGGTTAGCACTAGCAATTGTGGCAACTCGTTTGACAAACTTATTGACCTAATATTGAGAGATAAAGTGTTGTCGTCATGTAGCAGATAATTGTTTGCGTTTCTTTCAAGAAAGGAAACCGCAAACAACAGAGGAAATGATATTTCTCAGAGAAAGCAGTACATTATTGCGCATCCAGGAAAACACACACAGAAGCAGATTATGGAAGAACTGTTCATGGCAGCAGCAAGCTTGCAGGTGAAGTTACCACGTTAAGGGGCATAACCCTAAATGGAGAGTTCAGGACAAAAGACAAAGCCCAATAATAGAAAATGACACTTTAAGAACAGGTTGACCCTTTAGTCTCTTGTTAGTTCTGTCTGAAACAATGGATTAATTTCCTCAAAATGTAAAAAATACCCCCGAAAAATTATATATATATATATATATATATATATATATATATATATATATATATATATATATATATATATATATATGTATGTATTTATATCCCTGATCATCAATATTTTTTGATAGCTACAATTAGCAATAAAAAAGACATTTGTGGGCGTCAAAAAAAACAGCTGTAGAGATTTTGGATAATTAGTATTTACAAAATCAAACGGATTGAGCGCACATTTATACGTACACACAAAACTAAACTTAAAAAGAGCTTAGACCTGTGCTAACAACATGCAAACTGCTCACCCGAGAACTTGACTAGAACTGGCAGGGAAGCAGAACGCAGAGTTCAACATTCCTTGTGGGTGTATTTGGTTTACTGTTACATGTGATTTTCTGCTGCTTGAGGAGATTATTGCTGTTAAACGGAAGACTATTTTATTATAGAAACGAAAGAGCTCCTGCCAGAAGGTTTGAGTGTTTATAGGTTTGGAAAGATCCCTGGTCACATGCAGCGACGTTTGCTTTTGATGTTTATGAAGGGTTCCAGAAACGACAGGGGGTAGTTGTGGCAGCATTAAATCTTGAGAATGCCCACAACCGAGTCTTATATGATATTTTTATGTTGGCGTTCATGGAGAAGGGGCTGTGTCCCTGGTTGGTGAGCTGGATAGCAGTTGTCCTGTTTTCATGTAAAGTCGTTCTCCACCTTGGTACATTGACCTAAGAAGCAGGCGATATTACCCCGTGATTACCCCGGGATTAATCAATTTCACTAGCGCTCTTCAGTATTATGCAAGCAGGATTGCAATTATTGAAGCATCAGGGGATGGAAGGATACTGACATTTGCAGATGATGTTCTTGCACATTGGCAGGGGAGCCACAGACAGCAGACAATCAAAGAACTACAGGCAAATAAAAAAAGGCATTGAGTAGTATGCAAGAATGGTTACTGTCATCGAACCAAAAAAGGTTCTGTCTGTCTGTCTGTCTGTCTGTCTGTCTGTCTGTCTGTCTGTCTGTCTGTCTGTCTGTCTGTCTGTCTGTCTGTCTGTCTGTCTGTCTGTCTGTCTGTCTGTCTGTCTGTCTGTCTGTCTGTCTGTCTGTCTGTCTGTCTGTCTGTCTGTCTGTCTCTTTCCCTATGTCTCGCACTTCATTATGTTATTCGTGCATTCTTTTTTTTTTTGTGCCATTACATATCACACAGGGCACGAAGTATATTCCTCTATTCAGTTCTAGCCTGTGCATTCAGTCCATTATCACCGATGGAATCCAGTCCAGCAGCTTTAGTCTTGTTCATCAACGTTCATCGTAGGGTTTCCTTTAAGCATCCTTGCCTCTTTAATCCCTTTATTTCCTGTTTTAATGTGTGTTTGGTTATTCTCTGCTGGTTATTGTCAGGATGTGTCCATCATAGCACAATATTATCTGTCTTATAACTGTTGGTACCTATTAGTTGCCTAGACATTTCAATTTTTTTTTTTGGTCATTTAATTTTAAAGTCCCCCTTTTTTTCAGACGTCTGTTTTGGCATGCATTTAATTTTCATACTATGTCTTTACTGGTTCTGCATCTTATATTCGTTGACAGGTTACTATTTTTCGTAAACTTACTTCCACTCCTAAAGCCCAACACCCTACGTCGCTTTGTGACTGCAACCTTCCTGTTTGCTTGCAGACTTCCTCTGTGACAATCAGCACTACGGACATGAGTGTGAGAGCGAATGTCATTGTTCAAGCAATAAATCATGTTTTCTAAACTCTGGCTGGTGTCCTAATGGATGCGATGAAGGCTACATAGGAGAAACATGCAACACTGGTATGTACTGACCATTACGTTTGCGTAAGTTACTCCAGGTTATTGCTTACATGTCTGACCATTTATAACAATAATGCATACATATTAGTGTGTAGAAAAGGTGTTTACAGTTGATAACTTCCGATCAACACGTCTGCTTGATGCGTATACACAATGTTGTATATAATTCTTCGTCTTCTTGTGTCGTCTCGCTGATACCATGGTGTAGCCAGTTTCTATATGTGTATTGTGCTTCTTGGGTGGCTTGGATAAATTAGCTCACTGATTTCTTTATGAACAATCGTTGAAAGCATTATAAATGTTATGTCAATAAAGAGTTTCAAGGATAAACAGCTTTGAACTCCACATCAAGTATGATTTAAAAAGTTCATATCCAATAAAGACCAAATAACAGATATAATTCAGGAAAAAGAGGATGCTATCCAAGAGACAGAACATACTCTAGCTGCCTGAACAGATCTAGATAGAGTATCTTAGAGCGCTAAAACGGCTTATCATCTTTTACGGACGAAAGGGGAAGGGTGGGGGACGGCGGATGGGACCTCACGAAGCTTAATCATTGTCTCAGCGTACAAACAGCATGTATAAGTTTTCATCTGTAGTTACCCATAGTAAACACTTTGTCTGCACAGTTATATGTATAATGTATTGTTATAAATGTTCAACAGGTTACAGTATGGGGGTAGGCACTGAAAATAATACAACTAACACATTTTTTTTTTATTAATTAACAAAATAAATACATTCAGGTTTGCGGTAAACTCTAGACATGAATTAGCCACTATTTTGAGAACACAACGACAAACGCGTATAGAACAGTTTTAAAACATTGTGTCTCCCAATAGAGAGTACTGTCATTAGCAATGTTCCTGGCAAACATAAAAGATATTTCAGAACATTTGCCAGCTTGAGTTTACATCTCGTCATTTGCGATTCAGTTATATGGACTTGTGAACCACATATTAGTACTGCTAAGAATAGGAAACAGTAAGCTTTATCAGTGTTGGAGGAATGGTAAAAAAAAAAAACACCAAATAGGTAGTGTACACATAGCCTGGAGCTCCACTCCCTATGTTTGTGTCCCATTGTAACTTACATGGAAATAAGGAGAGGACAACTTCTCAATGCGTGATAAACGACCACCTCAGTCTGATATAGACATAGTATCATGAGGCCCAGAGGTTTATAAGAAGAACGTATAGTTCCAAGAAGCATTCTTAACACGGATTCTGAACATTCAGGCCACACAAAAACAGAGGATGCATAATACTACCTTGATCAACATAAACAAATAATGGTATTTAGACTCCCCCCAACCCTTCATGACATAATGTGCTGAAACATCACTTGTTCAAATCAGATAAATATGAGGGGTACTGATGATTGTAACTGTGGAATTGGTGAAGCTACGCTTCCACAGTTGTAATGAATGTGTTCAACATAGGCATGCCAGAGACCATTATGTTGTCTCACATCTGTTACTTTTGGGGACCCACTCAATGTAGCTTTTGATTTAATTAAACATATTCGCGTTGACGTATGAGGGTGTAGAAATAGAAGAAATCGCCCCGCTATTTCAGAAGTGGTAGTACCTAGAGATGTAGAACTGAACAACGATGATGTAAAAAAATAAAAAAAAAATGAAAAAAATTAGTGGCCACATTGAGCTTGTCGACTTTGAATGGGTAATTAGCAACTCATGGCGATCCATAAACCAGATATCCTACAACCTGACATCTCTGTGTTCAAAAAAAAAGCTTACTAAGCTGCAAATTCAATTATAGTCGAGAGTAAAACCCCATATAATAGCTTACGTGTGGACCCAGCCTTGGGTGGGTACCAGGTAAATTCCTTGGAAACAAAAGCAGCTGGTGTGATGTTGAGCAAAAAAACCACCGAATGCCTACTGATCTGTACATATGTAACGCATTATATGCACAATACGTCTGAAAGACGCATATATCGCAACCTTGTTGAGAACGGGCTCAACACATTCACAGTTTCGGATGAACACAAAAAGAAGAAGATTTTTTGAAATGTATTATTACACATATGTGTCATTATCAGATTAATAATATTATTAAAATTACTATTATTATATATTACTGCTTTTACTACTGCTGCTGCTGCTATTACATTTGACAGTGCCCTTCATCCCTTCTTAAGCTTCGTGAGCTCACCCCCCCCCCCCCAACCGCCCTAAATATTATGACCTGTATGTGCACCCTGACGTGTCTAAAAAGTTATAATGCTTAGTCCAATGTAAACACTTAATTCGAGAACTGTTAATCTTCTACACTAGTTGCCAAGAAAGAAGAAAAAATGTCACCTATAGTGTACACTACAATATTGGCAGTTGGAGGTGGTCTGATATTTGCTGCAGCAGCAATAATCTGCTACGCTTGTTGCAGAAGAAAAAAATCAAAAACACTGCCGGTCGAGGAATAAAATTTAGAATGAATATGGCACATCATAGAGGTACGTCATCGGCTTTTGTTGTTGTTGTTGTTGTTGTTGCCAAGTCCCATTGCTGTATGTAGATCTAGTCATGTGTGCTGTGTGTTTGTGTCTAGTTATGTGGGCTATGTGGGGATCGTGTCAGAGGTGCTTTATGTGACGCTAGCTATGTATGGTATATGTGGGTATAGTTATGTGAATATGAGAGATCAATCGTGTAAGATATATGTGGATCTATTTATATATGTTATTTGCCAAATCAGCTATCAATGCTGTATATGGCTATAGCTGTATGTGCCTAAAGTGAATTTAGTTATGTGCTCTATATGTGGATCTAGTTATGTGTCTCATATATGGATTGGATGTGTGTGTGTGTGTGTGTGTGTGTGTGTGTGTGTGTGTGTGTGTGTTGTATGGGCATCAAGAGATAAGTGATGTGTGTGAGTGATTTTGTTTGTTATATGTAGATGTAGTAGTATGTTTTCATAAGATTTCAGTTGTGTGTGCTGTCTGTGGATCTTATGTCTTCAATACGCTTAGGATTACAAGTTATATATATATATATATATATATATATATATATATATATATATATATATATATATATATATATATATATATATATATATATATATATATATATATATATATATGCCATTGTGGCGTTTATTTATACGTGCTATATATTAGAAACAGAATAGGACAGGCAAAAACTGCATTTTATAAACTGAAAAACATCTTGTGCAATATATCTTTGTCATTGAGAGTTAGAAAAAGAATTCTTGCTTGCTACATACATCCAGTTTTAACATATATTTGTGAATCCTGGACAATCAGTAGGCAGGCCAAACAATTTCTAGAGGCCTCATAGATATGGTTTTACGGAAGACTGCTTAGAAATCCATGGACAGCCAAAAAGAGCAACCAAGTTGTTTTGAAAGAGGCGTGAGCTCGAAGACAACTTATCACAGATATCGGAAGGAGACAGTCATTATTTTTTCGGCCATGTTATGAGAAGAGGGAAAATAGAACATGTTGTGACCACTGGGAAGATCTGTGGAAGGAGAGATAGAGGAAGACAGCAAGAGAAGATGCTTGACAGTCTTGTTACATGGCATGAAAGTGTGTCGGCACACGAACTGATACATGCTGCAGCAGATCGCAGATAATGGAGAGGTATGATCGCTTACGCCAGTCGGCAAGGCACCTGATGATGATGTATACAGACCGACGGTAGGGACAACGCCATGCAGAAAATTCACTGAGACATTAAAGATTAGCTGGTTTGGTCATTTAGTAAGAATGCAGCCAGAACAACTACTAACGTACTAAAAGATATGGAGTTAACGCGAGAGAACGCCCTAGGAAATTCAAGAGGTCTTGGAAAACATAGACTGATGACATTAAAGAGCTTCTACGTCAACACAAAATGATAATAGACAATGCGGCCCATCAAGCAAGGGATTGCAAACTGTTCCTCCCAATGTCACTTGAACAAAATATGAAAATTGATGATTTATTATTTATATTTATGTATCAACGTATATATACGTATATATATATATATATAAATCAATGCTTGTGTGTTTGTTTTTGAGCTATAGACTCAGAAACTACTGAACCGATTTAGCTGAAATTTTCAGGAAATGTTTTTGTTATGATACCGGATGTTTACCCATCATGGTTTAAAATTCTACCTGTCATTTAAAGGATAGTGTGGTAAATATTACACTAGCCGCATTTACTACTCATTACAATTCCTGCTCCCTATTTTAGTCCGGATGGACAGGGGTATCAACGTCAGTTACAAAAAACATCGTCAGCTGATGACTTTCAAATCCTTCGATGAGCCAGAGAGCAGTATTCGGTGGATGGGGGAGGGGCGGGGTAATGAAAGCAATTGTTAACTTAAAGAGCTTAACACATGATTTTAAAGTTTTCATTTCCTAATTTGTTTACATTTTACTAACGCTACCTCCGCTATTCTCACTTTTTTAACGACTTACTTGGTTATTTACAAGTACAGTAGTAAGCTTTACTTCCGTCTTTAAAAAAAAAAATACAAACAGCTTTAGCATGTGATAACCAAATAACCATTTTTTTTTACTCGGCTAATAATACCATTAAAACAAACACTAATTTAAAGACGCAATTAAATGTTGCGTGTTCTAAAGTGGCAAACCAGACTATCTCTATATCTGTGCAGAGAATGATTGCGTCATTAGCCATATTAGACACGTGCGATTTATATTGTCTTTCTTTTCCAAAAGCCTTTGATGAGGAAGCGAGCAGTAGGAAGATTTGGGAAAAGGGGAGGGGAGGGGGGGGTGGGCATCGATGGACTATCTCTGTTTGTGCGCAGTCAATAATTGCGACAGTAACCATATTAGACACGTGCGATTTAGATTTTCTTTCTTTTCCGTTTATCCAAACTATGCCACAGCAACGCGTGGCCGGGTATATCTAGTATATATATATATATATATATATATATATATATATATATATATATATATATATATATATATATATATATATATATATATATATATATACAGATATAATGATATATGCTTTGTAAGGGTCACATGATGTGTACAGTAACTAGCTCTCATTGTGTGTGTGTGCTCGGCTGTGTGTGTGTGTGTGTGTGTGTGTGTGTGTGTGCTTCATATGGGTTTAGTTATGAGTTCTTTACGTAGATAGTTACAGGCGCTATATAGGAGACTAATTAAATTTGCTATATGTGGGTCGTCTGTGTGCTTTTTATGGGTATAGCTGTATGCTATTTGTTGGTCTATTTATTAGCATTGTTTGTTGGTCTATCACTTTTGCTTAATCAATCATCAGTCACTGGCCCTGAATAAAGAAGATGAGATACTCGCTATCACACAAGATCATGATAATCACGGATCAGGTGGTGCTATTGTCTGACCCATGCATGCGGCCAGCTAACAAGACATCAATCTCTTTGCTTTTCCGCTGCGCTCTTTCTATTAACTTTGCTAGTTTTCACCACGTTCTCATGCCTGTTCCTCACCTTGTAATATATATATATATATATATATATATATATATATATGTGCGGCGTCCGTATCGAGTCCGACTCGTAAGCCATATATATCGAAACCTATATGGATTTTCTCGTATATGGGGATCGCAGGTCGACCCAGCCTAAAATGGGTACCAGGATATGTCCTATAAAGACAGCCGGCGTAATGCTGATATATATATATATAATATGGGATATGCCCATATATTTTACTTTATATATATATATATATATATATATATATATATATATATCTCTATATATATATATATATATATATATATTATATAATTAATTACATATAAAGAATGATATTGATTTATATCGACTTTATTTTCCTCGCCTTTTCCTCATGGTCTGTAATTGTTGTAGACTTTTTCCCCAGTTTAACTTTATAGAATATTTTAAGAGTGTGTTTTGCGTCTTAAAGATTTGAGACACATGGGGCTGCACAAAGTTTCATATAGCCTTTACAAGCTCTACCCTTCCCTCATTAGGGATTCATAGTAGACTGTCATGGTAGGCTAATTCTGTTCTTGTATCTTTTTTGACAACATTCCGAATTTGCTTTTAATTTTCAAATTAAATAGTTGATGATGTAATGATTTAAGCGTGAGGTGTCTCAGAGGCCTGATTATGAATATGACAGCTTTTTATGCAGTGAAACAGGAGTAATTGTAGTCTGCTCAGTTGTTTTTTTTTTTTTTTTTATTTTTACTCCAAGGAACCAAGGAACCTTCCTTCATATAGCAGGCCTTTAGGCTGCTGAAAAAGTAGCAAGTTCAAAATTAACTACCCTACGAGAGGTACAAATACATTTTCAACCACCACTGATCATATTTATGTCTCATGTCCAGGAAATATTTTTGAATGCATAATTCCTGTTAGAGCTGTCAGCGACCATTATCCGTTGTGCTGTACATGGTCAAAATTTGGCTTTATGTCTCCTAAATATAAGCACCTCAAATTAAATTTAGAAATGTTAAAACCTTTAATTCACAAGCATTTTAAAACGATTTGCGAAACGCACAGCTGGAGCATGTTTATCAGCTTTCTGAACCGGATGATGCCATAGCATACTGCATAAAAACAGTCTACAATGTTTTTGATAACCATGTATATAATGTATGCAAACACGAATGTGTTCAGGTATTCATGTGTGTATGTAATATATGTATGGGTGATTGTATATATGTGTGCATGCATGCATGTGTGTGTATGTATGTAATGTGTGTGGGCATGTATGCATGCATGTATGTATGTATCTATGTGTGAATGTATGCATGTTAGTGATGTATGTATGCATATTTACCTGTGTAAGTATGTGGATGTATATGTGTGTATTTAGGTATGTGTGTATGTGTGTAAAGATGTGAGTGTATGTATAAATGTGTGTATGTATGCATGTATGTGTATGTCTGCATGTATGTGTAAATGTATGTATGCATGTATGTAGGTGTATGTATTCATGTGAGTGTAAATGTGTGGTTGTGGGCATATGTTGGTTTCTGTAAATGTGATTGTATATGTGTGTATGCATGGATGCATGTAAAGGTGTGTATGAATTGAATGTGTGTGTGCATGATATCTATAAATGTATGTGCGTGTTTCTTCTGTTTGTACATTTATGTCTATGTATGTGTTTGTGTTTTATGTTTGTAGATGTATGTAGATGCGTTTGTGTATGTATCACGTATGTCTGTATATGAGGATGCATGTATGAGAACGTAGGAGTATGAATACGTGTGTGTGAGTGTGAATGATTGTGTACACATGATGTGTGTATGCATTATTCTATAATTTTTTTTTTTACTTTATTATATCCATAACAGGATTTATTGATAACAGGTATTGCTACTCTGAAAAATGAGTGCTTAGAAGGGACGAATGTGATACGGGTCTGTGTGCCTAATTTGTAACCCTTTGACAATAAAGTTCT